TAGCCGAGCAGTTTTGCCGCGAGTGTGGAACGCCAGAGGCTTTAGCCTAGAGCCGAAGCATAACTACTATGCCTCGATTTTTTCCACCAAGCGTGCGACCGAGACCCCTCGTTCTGCGAACGACCAAATGAAGGTGCGCGCCAGAGGGTTTACGGCTAAGGTTCGTAATAGGTTAATGCATGCTCTTTTCGGCAACATTACCGAGTACGAGGTGTATACCCCGACCTCCTCTAGAGCTTGGGCTAACACATTTCCTTTACCCAATGGCATGCTCATTCTCTCGTTTTCCATTGTAGGACGCCAGGCTTGGATCCGATATTACCGTAGAGGCACAACTAAAGAACTAGAATTCTCCAAAGGAGAATCTCCGAAGCTATTTGGGCTGCTGAGTCGAGCGGTTGCCTCCAAGGGAGGCGAGCCGGGAAGCTGCTGGAAACAGTCGCAAGATAGAAGACTCTGGAAGAGCCTGGGGATTAAGACTGGCCGGTCGCATCAGAAGCCCGGCCCAGACGACGACAAGCCTTCACCGGATTTCTCCTGGAATCCGGCTACAGATCTCACTTCCGACCAGGTAGCTCAGCTGGAAAGACGACAATTTACCAATGGAACCATTTACCAGAGGTCAGATTCACAATTGGTTTCCGAGCACACGTTCTCGGAGAGGCAGAAAGACCCAGGCAGATCTCGCTGCCATCCTGTTCCATGCGGCTACCAAAACCGCGACACCATCGGGGGAACCTCTAGAGGTCAAAGATCCTCACAGGCGAAAGCTCGCCGATTCTTATTATGGATTCAAAACAAACGGTCTCGCAGACAAGATTATAGAGCCTGGAACGCCGCTAATAAGGGGACCACCCTGCGGACTCACGGTGGATCTATCCCTGTACCCCCGCATAGTCCACGACCGACCGATTATCAACGCCTCCAGTCTAAAGTCCGGAAAACCCAAAGTACGCCTTCCAATTGGCGATTTCACCAATACCCGTCCCCTTTCCCTCTGAAACCCCACACCAGACTCAATATCGCCACTTGGAACATCGAAGGATTAAAGGAAGTTGCCAAGTACGATCAAATCCTCCATTTCTCTAAGAAACACCACTTTCATTTATTGGCTGTGCAAGAAACCAAGTCAGACTCCAGCCATAGTTTTTGCAAACAAGGCTGGGAAATTCTACATTCTAGTACCCCTGCAGGAAAACACCATGGAGTAGGTTTCTTTGTTTCTCCTTTCCTTCGCCCATATGTCTCTAATTTCTTAGCTCACGGCCCACGCCTTTGTGAAGTCACCATTCATATTATTCCCCACCCTATCACGGTCCTTTGTGTATATGCACCGAGTCAGGTTGAGGACTCTGCTGAGGACCTCAAAAGAAAGCAGGAATTTTGGGATATGGTCGATCACATCCTTTCTTCTCACTCTAACTCTGAACATCTCATTATCTTGGGTGATTTTAACGCCCGCCTCTCTCCTGATATGACAAAAGACGTCCCGGGCCTCGGCCCTCGCGTTTGGGGCAGGCGACAAGCTCTGGAAGATCCCGATCGGGATAATGCCGAATACCTTGCCGAATTTATGGATGCTCATGCTTTTCTCCATGCTCCCTCCCAACAGGATTTGCCGATTAACAAACAGGTCACGTATAAGGAGATGACCTGTGCTGACCCTCTTTTGTCCGACCCTAAGGTCGAAGATTGGGCTGCGCTTGACCACACATTGGTTACTCCTTCTCTCTCTACATCTTTCCGCTTTCGCGGTTCCATTTTCAGCAACTCATTAATACCCGTCATCTTCCATCCTATGGTACTCTCTCCTGTCACTACCCGGAACGGGCCAAACCCGACCCGACAATTAAGTTGGATTATTCGCAAACTCAAGGCTTTTACAAGGCGCTGGAAGCAGATCTCCTTTCTTCCACCCATAATCAACTTCCCGACCCTACACAACAGTCTTCTCCTCCGCAAATCTATGTTACGGCGTACACAGATGGCTCTTGTCCTAATAATAGAGTCGTCTCCCCTGACAACCCCGCAGGCTGGGGTTTTGCTGTCACCAGTTCTTTGATCAAGGAAGAAGCCTCCCAAGACACGGAATGGGAGTACTCCTATGGTCCGGTTAAGACCATGCCCACAGATACGCATGTTCTTCCAGAAATATGGGGCTCCAACAACACTGGGGAGCTTAAGGCCCTCATAGAGCTCTTTGACTATCTCTTATATTATTCGAACCTTCCATCTCTCTCTGAAATTACAATATTCACTGACTCTGAATACGCCATGCGAGTGATTTTGGGCGACTCGCTCCCCAATACGCATCAGCAATTAGTTACGCTGGCGCAGCAATATTACACCGCTTTGCGCACTCTCCATTACGTTACCATCGCTAAAGTTGCGGGTCACTCTGGAGTCATCGGCAATGAGCTTGCCGACTCCCTCGCAAAAAAAGGAGTCACTGAATACGGCTCCCTTGGCAGGTTCGCGGGACCACGTACCGCGGCGCTCTCTCCTCCTGATATTGGTTACTCCTCGGAAGCATGGCTCTCTCTTTCTCCTGACGCCCAGAATAAATTTCTCCTTGATCTTATCCAAAAACATACTCCCCTCATCCCTAAGCTTCCCGTCTCTCCGAAGAAACCTTGGATCTCTCCTTTCACTCTCCAAGTTATTTCCTCTTTTCAGGAAAAGACAGATCTCACTGAACAGGAGGTCAAACAGCACCGCAATCGCATTAAGAAATTGGCCAGACGGGACAAAAAACAGTTTATATTGGCAAATCTCCAGGAGGACTTTCACGGCTCCGCCATACAACAATGGAGCACAGCGCGTTCCATGCGCAAAGACTTTCGTCCTTCCCCTACAAATCTCATTGATTCTCAGGGCAAGTTGGTGTCTAAGACACATAGGGCGGCATCTTTTGCTGACTACCTTGCTAATCAAGTTTGGAAAGCTCCCGCTACAGAAACTTTCCCAAACTCCTCCCCTTTTTCTGAAATCCCAGAGGCCTCTCGTCCATTTAACATGGAGGAACTTAACATTGTACTCCGCGCTTTGGGCAAGCGCAAAGCTCCGGGCCCAGACGGCGTTCCAGCCGAGCTCCTGCAGAATGCGCCGTATATTTTTCGGCTCTACTTACTTGATCACTACAACCATTGCTTCGCCAGAGGAGAAGCCCCAGCCACTTGGCTCCACTCTGAAGTAGTTATGTTAGTCAAAAATGACCAAAAAGACACTAAGCTCTTGTCCAATTACAGACCGATCTCGCTCTCCAATACCATGTATAAGATTTATGCTTCGCTTCTTCAGAAGCGACTTGCGGTGCACTTCGATCACAGGGTACGCAATACACAGTTTGGTTTCCGCTCCAAAAGATCAGTCACTCAGCCGATTCACGTTTTACGCCGCCTCTTGGAAGTACATGAGCGCCAAACGGAGCCTTTTCATGCGATCTTTTTAGATTGGGCCAAGGCATTTGACTCTGTCACTTTTCCTGCCATTCAGGCTTCGCTGGAATATTTAGGAGTTCCGAGCGCATTTCGTAAAGCTATCGCATCTCTTTATGACAACCCTACCTTTACGGTTAGGGACAGTCAACAGTACTCGGAGATCAGAACTCAGACCCGAGGGCTTCGCCAAGGATGTCCTCTCTCCCCCTATTTATTTGGGTTTGTCCTTACCCATCTCTTTGAAGATGTAGAGCGCCAGTACACGTCAGAGCATGGCGCTATTTCAGGTGTTTTGCGCCTGGGTTCCACATTATGGGACTTAGAGTATGCTGACGACACGGTTCTCCTTTCCAATTCCTTTTCTCAGGGACAGCTCTTTCTCCACCTGGTACAGAAGGAAGGAGCCCGCCGAGGGCTCTACCTTAATTATGACAAGTGCGAACATCTGTCAGTGAACTCCTTTCATCGTATTCTTTTCGACCCAGCCTACCTCCTTGCGACAGTTGAGGACTTGCAAGTCCCTCTTTCGGATGCAGTTAAGTACCTTGGAGTCTATTTGGATCCTAGATCCACAAATCATAAGAACGTCTCTACTCGCATCTCTCGAGCTATGGAGGCTTCTAAGAAGCTGGCTCCTCTTATGAAACACGGCCAGCTTCCCCCCAATTGGAAGCTTTTGGTCTATCGCTCAGTGGTTCAGTCTATTCTGATGTACGCAATGGACAGCCTCCTTCTCACCCCAGCACAGCTTACCAAATTGGACTCCATTCACTACAAGTGTTTGAGAAGAATCTTTAAGATCAAGTCATCTTATTACCACAGGGTTATCAATCCCTCTTCCGCTCCCTGTTCGAACCAGTATCTAGCGGAACTAGCTTTCTCCTCTAGGCGGGTTATCACTCCTTCTCAACAGTATTCACAAGGCCGTCTTAATCTCCTTGGTCACCTCTATCGGCATCCAGAATCTCTAGAATTCCAGTCTACTTTTATGCCCTCAGCGGCCTATCGTCACACCCGAGGCCCGAATAGGGTTGGCAGGCCCAAAATACATTGGGCGGAATCTTGCTTAGTTGAGGCCTCGCGCCGTATCACTCATTTGCAATCCGATGCCGCTCCGCCGCATTCCTCCATTGAACATAGTTTCTTTGCCATCCCGACAGCAGCGGACATCCGGCAGGTACATTCTTCTTCCTCGATGGTATTCATGGATAATACTCCTTTGTATCGCCAAGTCTCGAGTGTTGCCAGAAATAGAGCTTTTTGGGTTTCTGTAGTTCATAAGCCAAGCCGTAAACCCCACAAGCGCACCTGAAACGGTCGGTGCAGACGGGACCTTCACGGACCCTGCGCTTGCAAAAAAAAAAAATCGTAGGCAGGAGCTAGCGCTAGCTAGCAGCCGGCCGGTGGAAGGAGTTTCGCCGAGTGCTATCCTTCTGGGGCGAAGCCGATGGTTTTTCAGTCGAGTGCAGAGATCGGAAAAAGAAGTCGAGCTGTTTGCGGGACGGCAAGAGAGGGTGAGATCTTTGACATGGTCCGCGGTGGGGCGAAGCTCATGCTGAGGCTTTGGAGGAAGAGCGACGCGGGCTTGCGGAGGACGTTGGCAAGAAACATCGAAGGGATGGGGAGCTGGGAGTAGCTGCAGGTCTCTCACTCACGAAAGGCAGGGTCGAGATTCCAAGACAATCTAATCTACTGCTGCAGCTTTGCACGAAGTTGCGGTTTGGAAAGTATGGGGGCACTATGCAGGAGTTGCGAGGAAGACAGCTCAGGACCAGCCGAGGGCTCCAGGGCGTCTTTGAAATATTCGATGCTGCTGCGCTACGAGTTTCCTTCATACGAAGCTATACCAGCCATACCGCGTCAATCCGCCTAGGCGTGCCTTTGCATATTTGGGCTTGCCAGCTTGGCGATGCAATTTCTTTCTGTCGCACGTGCCTCTCCTGTCCTGGTTGCTTATTTGTGGCTACGGTAGCACTGGCTTTGCTTGCTGCGACTGCTCGTTTCGTGACTGACCTTGCTGCCACTACTGCTATGCAACGCAGCCAATGCGACTACTGTTACCACCTTTACCGTAAAACTGTCCAAATGCTACTGCAGCAGACCAGGGCGGACTGATGCTGCTGCAGGACATGTTGGGAAGAAATGCTAGATTCGATGCGTCTCCGATCTGCATGTTCTCGCTTTTGTCTTGAACGTGTGCTCTTCGTTGTCTTCCACTGCCCAGACCAGTTAGGCCTTTTGCTCTGCTTCCACTCCTTGATGGTGTTCTCGCCCCTGCACATCTGCTGCGAGTATTCCTCTGTGTGCTGCTACTGCTTCTGCATATTCGGTTCAGCCTGCTCATAGCACGTGCTGCTTCCAGTCTTCTATATGTCAGATTGGCACGCAGAGCGTAACGTGCTTCTGTTCTTGCTCCCTCCAGGATCGAGGAAGAGCGGAGTGCACTGGGCTACGACCAGGTCTGCAGTGGGAGATGGTCCGGTAGAATTTTTCCAGTTGCGATACACATGCCAAGGGGCACGGCAGCCGCAAGCCCTTGGCCCGCTTGCAGGAGAGACTCCAGCTCCTTACCGGCCACCGTGAACCTGAGGACGATCTCATCGCGCTGTGCCCTGGCGCAGGCTGTGGGCTCGCGCGTATTGGGTGCGTTGGTTTGCAGGTGTGCACTGTTCACTGGCTATCTTACGGTCCTACGTCCATGTGAGCCCAGGAACGTCGGTGGAGAGGTCTTCACAACCAGGCGATCCACACTATGTGTCTTCGATGCGACCTGGCGGACCAAGTTGTACAACGGCTTAGAGGAATGATGGTTGTCTACGGTTTGAAAAAACATGCCTTGATACGGCTGGCCATTTCTCCCAAAGCTAGAGCTGCCCAGGATTCTTACCTGTCCAACCTGTTCTCTGGACGGTGGGAGGCGAGCATTGAGAAAGACAGCTGCTCAGCAGCATGGCTGGTTCATCACCATATCGGAAGCGAAAGAAAGCCGAGGTGCCGGCCGTTACTTCCTGGACTTCGACCCAGTGTGCTTCCGGCTGCAGCCTGACCGGACTTCCATTGGGGCGCGGGACTCCTTAGCTCTTTGAGATTTCTGATCATCGTAAGTTTGCTTTGAATGCTCATAGTCTTGGCTGTTTGAAAAGGAATCTCCCCTCTGGAACACAAAATCATGCATCACCTCAAGCAGCTTCCGCAACTATTCTTGCATATGTCAGACGTGTGAAGGTTGTTGAACATCCTCCGTACCAAGCGCTTCGAGAGCCAGCGTGCCCCTTTTCCTCTGCCGAAGGTGCGGTGGCTTTGATCGATTTGTGAGACATTCTCGCTTGGACATCTAGTTCGTGTTGCGAGGGGTTGCGTGCAGTGATGGGAACTGAAACCAGCCCATGAGGGGGGGGGTGGCGGGGCGAGATCAGGCCTGGGCCTAATCAGGGTTTTGTCCGGCCGAGATGGTATGCAAAGTGCTCAGCAGGTTCCACCTGAAAAGGAAGAGCAGTTCTGGCACCTCGTCGAGTACTTTGGCCTTACGGAGGCCTTCCAGGAGGCCAGCCGTCGCTCCGTATGAACAGCCGAAGTCATTCCCGGGCTGGTGCGGCCAAGTCTCCTTGCTGATTCGCTTGCCAGGAATGTTTCAATCAGAGCCGCTCCAGCGAAGCAGAGACACCCAGCACCAGCGCGTTTGGCTTTTGAGGTGGCGGCGGCCGCTGCGAGTGCAGCAGCCCGGCGGCCGAAGACCGAGGAAGGCACCAAGGGCCTAAGGGGAAGCTTCCTGGAGCTTCGTGTGGGGTCTATCTTTTTCTTTGTTCCAGGTGTTCGCCCGTGTCTTGTTTCTGGCAGGGCTCTTGTCTTTATGAGTCTGGAGGAACTAAAGCCCAAGCCCTCCTTTTGCAGCCTTTCTGGTTTGGGCGTAGGGGCGTAGGGTTCACTCCTTTTGGGATTCTCGGCTCCGTTCTGGGATCTGAGAGAGTTCAGTCCTCACTCGGGAAAAGGCTTCGGTGTTGGAATTTCCTGTTCGGCATCGCTCAGGTTGGGTTCACTCGTTGTCCGATTAGGGCTTGGGTTGGCTTCACTCCTGTGGGTTGTTGGGCTTCCGTGTTTGAGTTTCGGTTTGGGGCGGGGGGTGTTATAGGCATTGCGGCGGTTGCGAAGATGTCCTTTTCTTTTCGGTTGTCTCCTTCGAAACTATTCCTCTCAAGAGATGCAGAGAGAGGACAGCACAGAAGTGAATGCCCCTGGCAGTCCTTCCTGCCCCCTTCCCGTCTGCTCCAGATGCGACGAATCCTTCGCAACCTTTGGGCGCTTCTCTGATGCAGTGGCTGGGCAGAGATCAGAAAGCCACCCATGCCTCCGGCCAGAGAGTGATCCCCCAGGTCTGCAGGCGCTCTGCTCCGCACTCTCCGCCAGGCACAGCTCTCTTTCAGGAAAAGGAAAAGGAAGAAGGGTGCTGCTTTCTTCCTCGGATTCTGCAGGCTGCCGGGGAGGCGCAAGGCGGGCCCTGGCCTGGGCCTGGAGCCGAGGCCTCCGAGGCCTCCGAGGCCTCCGAGGCGCCGGGGCAGGCACCCCGCCGGGCGCTTTTGGCGCCTGCCGCAGACCTGCCTCCTCCGGCGGGTCGCAGCTCGGCTTTTGTGGAGCTGAGAGCGTGGAATTCCCCGAGTTGCAATCACAAGTCCATGTCAACGTGCCTTAGGCGCGGTCTAGCAGCAACATGCCTTCGTAAGGGTATGGTTTCCTAAGCCAAGGGCAAGCCTCCAACCCAGGCATGACTGCCACGGCTACCGAGACGCAGGCAGAAATGCATATTGTACTTAGTACTTGCAAGGAGTAGAGTCACGAAAGCAGGCATTCAGCTCAGCTGCATAGCACAGCCTTGGAAAGCGGGAAGCAACATAAGAACAGAAGCTGCTACTCTGAGTTGTTCTGACAGTGCTGGAATTGAAGGCAGTTGCCACTTTCCCGACAACTGGGCCTGATGCATTTTCTGCTGTCGCGGAGCCTCAGCGTGCAGCTCCGGAGGAGAGGACATGTTCCGGGATTCTGGGCTGTTTAGAAGAATCGAGTGCCTGGCCTGGGGCCAGGTACCCGTTGCATAAGTGAGGTAGTCGGTCGCGCGCAGTTCCGGAAAGCAGGCTTTTCCTTTCGTAGTCCACAGTGCCGCAGGTGACGAAGCATGGACACCTGATATCTCTTGTGTCACATTTATTCATCTCGTGTTTAAGGCCTTGCCCTCCGGCACCAATCCTGCAGGTCGCCTCCACCGCCACTTTCCTCTCGGTTGCAAGCCAGGTGCATGCCGGATTTGTGGTTCAATTAAGAACGATTTGATCTCCGCTATTCGTGATTTGATTCGGCATCGGAGCACCTTGTTTCTGAACACACCTGCGCTGTTGCGTTTCTCTCAATTGAGCACTACCCCTCCCACTCAAACTCCTTCACGGGCCTGTCAGCCATCCGCCGCGGCGACTGCTTCAGCCAGAACTCCTGGCTGGTCAAGGCAGGGCCATGCACCACTCCAAGCATGACATCACATGACTTACTTGTTGAGCTCGTGTTCGGCTGGTGAGGAAGGTCGCGCATCGGCTGGCAGCCGTAGAGGATGACCGCCTGTCAAAACCGCTTCATGCTCATGCAGTCGGTGAGGCTGAAAGTGTGACAGCTGGCATGGCGAAGATTAAAACTCTACTTGATTCTAGCAGTATCTGTTATCTGTTTGGTGATTGAGGCTTGCGTGCTAGACATGAATGGGAATCGGTTGGCCTTCACTTTACCCACCCTGCCTGATGACAGCAGATACTGTTACTGTCATGCAATGCTCCGAATTCAGAGAGCAAGAGAGAGAGAGAGAGAGAGAGAGAGAGAGTGTGTGTGTGTGTGCACGCATGCCGTTTACAGCGATGTGGTAGAGCTTGGACGGTTGACTTGAGTGGGGAGAGTGTGGAGCAGGGTCAGCTCAAGAGTTGGTTGCCTACGGGGCTGAGGCCTGATGATGCTTGCGCACGATCCTGCCAATCCACCATCCGGGGGCATTCCCATGGTACCGCTACCACTTCGAGAGGGGTGCACACAGGATCTGAGATGAAGTTTCAGCTGTTATCGGCTTTGATACTTTGTTGGGGGCAGAGTGAGATCCCGTGAAGCCACCAAGCAGAGGCAAATCTCCCTCGCTGGAGGCTTGAAGGGGGAGAGAACCATCACTTTGGGCCTTGGGCATTGTTTCCGATTTCGGATTTTGATTCCTGCTTTTCGTTCTCTTCAGGTGGGACCGTATGCCCAGCCTTCTTTGCTTCCAGAAATGGGGTGCGCTTGATGCAGGGGAGGGAGGAAAGCAAGGAAGCAAGAAGAGAGAGCGAGACAGAGAGAGAGAGAGAGAGAGAGAGCAACTTTCACACTCCTCCAAAGCCCCCCGGCGGCCGGGGGGTTCGCAGAAAGAAGAGAGAGAGAGAGAGAGAGAGAGAGAGAGAGAGAGAGAGAGAGAGAGAGAGAGAGAAGAGAGAGAGAAGAGAGCTGCAGAGTGTGTTTCATGGCTTTACCGCAGAATGCAAGTGTGAAGATCGGGGTTTGTAGGTCATTTACGGGCCCCAATCCAGATCTTCACCGTGAAGAGAAAATGCGCACCAACGGCATAATTGTGCCACCACCTCTAGGCCTGCCGAAGTGTGGTGCGGTATGGTGCAGTGTTGCATACGAGCTCGCGAGGATGATATGACCACACTCCACATCAGCAGCTCGAGGTATCGTGAACGGATCGCTTTGCTGTAGTTACGACATGATAGCGAGTGTGCCTGGTTCCAGCGGGGTACAGCACTCCTTGCGAGCTTTTGTTTTGATGGCCTGATTTCGGGAATTTGCTGGGATGCAGGGCTGCCGCCTCCGCCGCGGCGGCCCGGGCGTCTCGGGGCTTCCGTGCAGGGCGCCACGTTTGGGAGCTGAAGGCGGCTCTGAGAGAGAGAGCGGAGAGCATTGCTCTGTGAAGCGTGAGGGAGCGGACCTAGGGGCATGCTGACGCAGGTTCTGCTGTGCTCGGATTGGCGCCGGTCTTACTTTTCAAGTTGCAGGGCATGCCAACCATTCCAGTGATAGCGGTGGAGTCAGTGACGTTTACAGATTGCCAGTGAATTGAGACCCATGCTGCAGCAGCTGCACCATGACGCTTATTTCTTGTGAACATCCCTCGCGACACATGCAGTATCCTGTTTGTTTCAGGTCCTACGTCGGCCTTGTTTCTGAGGAGCCTCGCTTAGTGCTGGCTTGTAGAGCATCTGCGGACGAGTTTGCACGACCCTTCTTTGGCGAGCGTGCTTCGCGCTTCGTGCTCGATCTCACTACCGTGTGCCAGTACTTGCCGACTGAGTACAGCCACAAGTGTGGCGTGCTCTGAGCCAATCTTGAAGCTGACGGTGTGCACAGCAGATCGCCAAGGAGTGGACCTCCCTCACTGTGCCGATCGGACGCGCTGATCACTCCTGGGGCATTGCATCCGGCGGAGTCACGTACTCGGCGTCCTTCGTCGAAAGCCCTTTCGCTCTCCTCGACTTCGACCGTAGAACATTGATGTGCTTTCCCAAATTGAGGCTCTTTTCGCTGGCGGTCGCGAAATTGGCAGAATTCAGGCTCAACCGGCTGCGTAACCCTACCTGACATTCTTCGGGTGCTGGAAGGCAGTGCTGTAGGGGAGGAGGGCTTTCACACGATCGGAACTTTTGGATTCGTTTCACAACTTGGCTGATGTAAGCGTCACGCATCTGTTGCATGAGAGGGTAAGCTTTGCTGCACTGAAGCGTGGGAAAGCGCACGAAAGAGCATTGGCAGTTTCTCTGCCTTTCACAGCTGTGCAGGGATATGGGTCGGACAGCTGTTTACGTTGGGCGTTCTCCTCGGACAGTGCATTAATGTGTTTCGGCCTGGGAGAAGTCTTTGCATTGCCAAAATCAAGTCGTGGAGAACGGGCCGAGGTCGTTGACATGGATACACGGACTGCTTCGGCCACTGGCAAAGTGGGCACGTGTTAATGGCAAATAAGATCAACTAAGTCATTACAAATGCTTCATTTCTCAGACTTTCGCTGATGCATTCAGGACACGGCAAGCCCGCGAATTGAGATACTAGTTTGCGATGTGTACCACTGACGCCGTTTGTCATGTTTCGGGGTATGAAATTGAGCTCGGTGATAGGGAGCTTCAACTGCGAAGCTTCAGCCCCATAGAAAGGGCATGATCAGAAACCGCACTGTGTACGACACGTCTGATCCAAGGCAAGGCCGCAAGCACGAAAATTAGCGCTTAAGGTCGCCATTGATGATCGTGACTTCGTCGAGGCCGCCCTCGCTTCCGACTTGAAAGCTTTGTAAGCTGAGTCTTATCTCCACTTGTGTGGTTCCTTTCTGGCCAGGTCTTCATCTCCTTGCCGACCACGGTCTTCCCGGCCGCTTCGAACTGTCGCGCCCCCGCCAGGCTCTGCCCTCTTCGGGAGTTTGGTGTGTGTTCTTGCATTCGGCAAGTATCCTGGAACCAGACGGTGCATCGTTCGATGGCTCGGCCCTTCGGCGGAGCACCAACAATCGGAAAGTCTGTAATTAGCCTCAGCCGAGATGCGCAGTCAAGATTCCTGCGACAGGTACAACATCATGTTCCTCGGCGAAACGACGGCTGGCTAAAGAGCACCAAAACGACTGCAACAGATGGGGGTTGCAGAACAGATATCCGAAGTTGCAATGCTTTTCACAGTTTCCCCTGGCTAGATCTTCTTTTCTACGAAGAGATTCTGTACAAATATTTTATTCGATCGATTTCTATATATATATATACATTTATTTATTCATGTAGTTTTTGAAATGTTG